CTTCCCGGCTGCTGGAGTCCTTCGGATATCACTCGCTCACGCTTCTGATGCCGATACTCGCGATTCGACCATGCGGTTAATCAACGCGATGATGATGCGATGCCGATTGAGTATCTCGAGGATCGAAGAGATACATTTCTTTCAATTATACGAGACGGAAGTGACGAGCGCGTCGCGCACGGCTGCTGCTGATAGAATGAGATCGAGTACGCGAGGCGCGCGAGTATTGGTAAATAATGAAGGGCAAAAAGTGTCGTCGCTCGCGAGCCGATCAACACAATCGGCGCGATGTAAACATTTCGGGCCTCGGCGGCGGTTGAAGCAAGAGAGACTTGCCCTTGGGCATCTCTTCTTTTCTCGAAGGTTCCGGAACGTCGAGGGAAATGCGAGGAGGCCTTTCAACTGTACGCGACATTGATGCACTCTATTTATTGATTACTGAAAATAAAGAAAATTACTCTGTCGAAGCATCGGACATTTGTTAGCTTTATGTTAATTAAAGAGGAGTGTGTACGATTAGAAAATGTGTTAGCAATTAATTGTACAGAGTGTCAAAGTTGTGACGCCGTTTTCGGAGAGAAATTAAAGGTCATGGTAGCGTTAAAGAGTGGAATTTCATCCCATGCGAATTTTGTCTCGTTCTTATTAAATATTAGATTATCCGCTACGGACAATAACTTTTCTACTTTTCATCTAATATTCAATGATGATAAATAACATTTAATTGCATTCGTTTGGCTGTTTTTATTTCGAAAATTAAAAAATATATACCAGGGTAAGATTTCACCCATGACAACATCAACGTGATTTTCTCTGATGCTTTTTTTAAAAATTCAGATATTTCGTCGACTCGCGGGATATTTATAATCGGAGTCTCGTCGCGTTAATTAACACGTGCTCCTTTGAGCGGATCGAATGCTCACCGACGGCCACTGTCAGTGCCACGTGCGAATGTCCGGAGCGATCTGGATATTGAATTGAGAACCAGGACGAAGGGAATGGGACGCAGGCAACGATACATCATGCGTCTCCAGACGTGTCAAATCGTTTATTATACAGAGACTTTGATACGGCAACATGTATTCGAAGATTTAATATTTAATACGTACTTTTATTTTTCCTGCTCTTTTTAGACCTCCAGGCATAATCTGACATAAAGATAGCAACTGTGGTTGCAGCACGGACATAAACCGTCTGAAAGTGGATGTAGCACGGACTTCCACCACATGCAGATTTTACCACCGAGACCTGAAAGTGAATGTAGCATCGTAATTCTCCTCTGAAAATGTATGCAGATGGCGTCCTTTCCCAGTGCGGAAAATCAGTGTCACAGAAAATGCCGTGTTGGCCGCTCTCAGGTTTCTCTCTGTTTATAGCTGCATTACTGAACTAGTGCAATAAGTTAGAGTGAGAAAAAATACAGTTGTCCCATTTTAACTTATTGCACTAGTTCAGCAGTGCAGCTATAAAGAACAGACCTAGTGTCTCGTCGGTGCCAATTCAAGCCTCAGTTCAAGAAGTTCTTCAAAAAAGAAAAGATTACACTTCATTGCACTCGGGTGTGCTATGGTATCACTGCGTGTAGCTCAGAATTATTTCACCTTAATGTTGGCTGCTTTCAAATGTAATACGATGCACGTTGTGTAGATGACAGCATATGTTACATTTTGGTCTGAATGTGATCCGTTTTTTAATGCGATTATACTAAGTAACGATATAAAAATAATCGTGTTGAGAAGTTCAAAGGAAGATATAAACACATAATGAAGATCTCAAGAATTCGACTTTTTGACAACGTTGAAAGGTTTGTGTTTTTGTTTTGATAATATTGTTAATATTTCCAGTATCGGAACCATTCTGAGCATTTCGCGTATCTTCGATTTGAAAATAACGCCGGTTTGAAAAGAAACGGATTACTATGGGTGCATTCAGTACTACACCGCTCACTGAGCGCTAAGTAAGCTCTTGCATCTGATTGGTGTATATTTTTAAATCTAAAGATATATACCAATCAGATGCAAGAGCTCACTTAGCGCTCAGTGAGCGGTTGTAGTACTGAATGCACCCTATGATTGGTCGGCTTGAATGCCTCGAGTTGCCAATCGCGGCATTGTTTACAGCATTAGTCATGTCGCGGGCTGCGGGATAGTATTGCGTGCGAAAAACCGTTATCTGTAATTTTTCGTAATTTTGGTTCGCTGTAGCTGAGCCTCGTCTCTCAGTCGTCATTGCCGGGAATGCCGAAAATGAGTTATGTGCGTGTGTCGTTAAATAATTGCGCGAATATCTTAGTGTGAGTGAATCGCTGAAATGTCGAGTAAAGTTTTGCGCGTTCGCCTTGTAACGACACAGTTTGGGTTTGCATGGCTGAGTCTTACGTTTTCGACTCACCGAGCGAATTTTGCGCGTGAATTATCGTTAAACATCGAGATATGGCATAATATCCTTCAATATTTACTGGAAGTGAGTGCTATTCATCGGGAGTGTCAAGTGAAGTTTTGTGAGCTTTCTCGTCATAGCAGACTTCTTGAAACGGCCGGTTTCCAATGGAATATTGTATTTGGTCGGTACGTAAGTGATATATACACAGTTAAAAACATTTCGTACTTTTGTTAAAATTATTTATGTGTAGAAAGTTTTGTGTTAAATTTTTTACACAGTCGTGTGTTAATTTAACATATCGTTGTTGTGTTACCTAGACTTTCTTGTGTTAAATTAAGATTATTTATTTTCAAGTGTTAAAATGACATTTCCAAGTATTAAAATAACACAATTTATATGTAAATGCATGAATTCTTGCTATAACAGATTTTATATGTTGAAGTCAATACCTAAAATGTATTTCCTCATTATAATAGTTAGATCATGTGTTAAATAGTTATCAGTAGTTATCATGTGTTAAATATATAATGTTAACATTTCTGGTATGTAAAGATTGGATTTTTAACACATAGATTATGTCAATCTAACATTTTCATTTCATTAAATCATAGATCATTACTTTTCCCAAATGTTGAAGTAACATTCATTGTATGTCAATTTAACACAAACTGTGATACTTAACAGCATTCAAATGTTAAATTTTTGTGTTAATTTTTTACATATTATGTGTGTTATTTTTTAACATATTTGCTGTATGTTAAATTAACACATAAATGAGAGTGGATGGATTTGAGACACATGAAATATGTTAAAAAAACATTTCTTACAGTGTACTATATTTATATATGCGAGCTACATAATATTAAAAATTGCAACCATCGCGATAACAATATATAGTCAATTGCAAAACAGTTTGCATTATTTTTCCAGATGCGCTTAACAATGCAACGCGATAACTTAGGTTTGTATACCACTGCTCACGAGCTTGCGCAGTGACTGTTTATGACAATAGCCAAAAAGGCAGTGTGAAAATAAAACGAAGTATTTAATCAGAACAGCCATTATAACATTAAATAATAGCCGTGATTAATGATGAGAAATAGATATTAGATTGCAAGAATTAAATAGTTTTATAAACACCGCATACATAACATTATTTATGAGTTAATTATAATTTAATTGAATATTTTTTCTTAATTGTTTACGCAATGTATATATATATATCTTTTAAAGGTATGAGATATTATATATTCTATTATGTTCATTTAACAAGGTTTTTAATCTCTTGACATAGTAAAATTTATAATATTGTGATTATTCCGTCGATGATGGATTATTTTCATTGTTGCCTCGTGTTCCGAGATTGAAATATGTTTTTTAAAAATCGCTGAATATTTTCAGTGTATTGTCTATAGCATATTACACGATTGAAGCAGCGTGATGTACCGTAAAGTTTCTTCTAGGTTCCCGTCAACGGTAAATTACATTTAACCCTTCGATTGCTGCACGTTAGATGCACAAGCTACTGAAGCGAACAGATCCGTGCGCCGTCTTCTGTTCGGTAGACTTGCACGTGATGCACTAACGTGATTAGAAAATTATGAGATTACGTAATAGAACTTGTATATGCGCTCTTGCGATCGATCTTTGGCTTGCAATGATACTTGTATAATTAATGCATTCTCGATCTTTCGTTCCAGAGAAATTCTATTGCAATTGAAACTTTCTAAATATTGCGAACAATAAAATAATAAAACACAGTTTGTTCGAACACGGTTTGCCTATTGATTATTTATAAAGTATTAATATGACAAAAAATAAATTTTAGATATTTATATATTACGGTGACGCTAATATTAATATCGCGAAACATTAATATCGCTAATATTAATATCGGCTCTGATAATTTTGATTCTTTTAACAGTCGTTTTTAAATAATACTTTCAGACATAAGAATGAAGACAGAGAATTGTAGATCGGAATATCTTTGCAATTACGCGATATTCTAGAAGAAGTTTTCATTATTGTTAATATTATCTTCATTGTTTATTTATATTTATTACTTATGCAACTTTACATATAATACTTTATACAAAGTTTAAAAAAACTTGATAATTATGAGATTACGCGATTAGAAAGAGATAAAGACGTAGAAATTATTATCCCGTGCAGAAAATGGGCTGTTGATATATCATTTCTTTTGTAAAGTAGAACAGTATTTAGAGTGTAGAGTTTTATTATAGTTATAAGTTTTGCTTGTAAAATTTTATATTACATATATAACTTGAAAAAAAATTATTTGAAATTTCTAAAAATAACGCAATACATGTTGCGCGTGTACTTGGTGCCTCTTTTTACCTTTTCGTTTAAAAAGGTAAGTTTTATACAGTTTTATGCAACGTAACGTATACAACGTTACGGGTTCTCTGAGACACGTCCCGGTGGGACAAGGTCGCGCGAGTTTGAAAACAACATATTCATAAGTACGCAACTGCCGCGACCGTCTCCATTATTGTTTACGCCGCGGCGGCGGACGGATCGGCGGATCGCTGCGCGTAATAATTTCCGAATTTTCACGGTGTACGCACGCGTGTAACGTGTAATATTCGTGCGTATATGTGCGTGTGTGAGTGCATGACGATCCGGAGCATCTTGAGCAATAACAGTGTTTCATGGCCTTTAAAGGTAAACTTTTATTGGTTAACTTGGTTAAGTTGAAGAGGCTAATTTATAGTCTCGAGTTTTCGTATTCTTGATGCGGGGCGCATTTGTCGCTGTAATACTAATGAGGAAACTCGCTTTTTATTACAGGTCTGCTGGAGTTTTGCGACCACGCGATAGCTGCGGTTACCGGGACGCAGTTTCGACGGACGCCGATGCTGCACCGGAGGATCCGGTTCGGGCCGAGCAGAGTCGGCTTGAAGGTGAGGTTCATTGATTATTTCTTCTTAATTCATTGCGATCAAAAACCGAGCGATTGAAATAAAAGCCGTTGAATTACGATGGCAAAGGATCAACGTTGTATCTGCGCGCGCGCTCCCACGAACTGAACTCTAACCTAACCTAACTTTTAACCTAACGGTTTAACTAACGAAACTATATTTTTTGTTACAGATCCGAAGCAGAACGTGGCTGACTCTGTCTGCTGTGTATCGGTGAGTCAAAGAAAAAAAGACATTTTTATGGTGATGGGTATTTGTCTGTCTCGAGAAAATCAATGCGATTTAATTATACTTTTTTCACACGTTGCTCAAAATAATCAGGAGATCGTATCTTTCAATGACCATATTATACAACAGAATCTTTAAGATATAATATATATTTCTTTCTTTTATATTTACTCTGAATCATTAGAAGATATAGATATAAATGCTTTAGTTTGTTATTATATTGTAATGAAGATATGGAATTATTTTCTGCGATTCAATCAATATTTAACTTCTGCTTCGAGTAGTATGTAATGTTAAAATTTGATCAGAATTGCGCCATCGCACTTGAAATTCACCATTATTTATCTTATTCGGCTTGATAAATTTTATATCTGTCGAGTTTATCAATTTTTTACATTTTTCACACGTGTCAGAAGCGGTAATATATCATTTGAAATTACCGATAAATTCGGTACGCGCGTTTATCTACACAACTTAGTCCTTACGAAACAAGACGTACGTTTCTTTCGAATTACCGTTCGCGAAACCAAACATTTTCGTTTTTTCTCTTTTGTTCAAACGTCGTAATTTTCATTCGCGATTGATTCTACGCGAATCGCGTCTCACGTATATACATTCTCGGAACGTTCTCGCAATTTATCGTGTTTATTTCTTTTTGAGATAAAAATTTTATCTCTTGAACGCGACCATATATGCTTCTTTATCTCGCCATTTCTTTTTCTTAAATCTCATGGAAATTAATGAAAGAGAAAAGGTAAACAAAGAGAAGGAAAAAGCGACAAAATATTGTGAAAGAAGAAACTTGTCCTGAGGAGACTAGACATTGGACGAATGCAGAGTCACAGGAGTCAACGAAAGTCGGTGAGTGTGCAGATCAAACGCTCAGAAAACGTCATGTTTCGTAATGCTCATAAATCGCATTGGTTTTCGACCAGAGATAGTAAAAGATAATGCGCGATAATATGCGTTCATATTATCTAATAAAATAAAAATGTGAATTGCGAGAAGCATTGTTTGCTTCCTCTCCGATCATTGCGGAAATATTTATTCTGCGCAAAATTATACGCGGAACCTTGAGAATGATAATCGATAAAATATATACTTGACGAACCATATATATATAACCAAATATATACTTGAGAAACCATACTGATTGCATTGAAGCTGGCTTCTCTTTGCAACACTTTATACGAATATTAATCTGATATTTTGCGCATAATATTTATACGCAGTGTCAATTAAAGAAAATTTAACGAGTCACTGCTACGGCAGTCTCTTCCTCGATATACACCGACATATTTTTTCTCATGCTCGTGCTTCGGCTTCGAGCTAGCAAAAATACTAGCTACCGCGTTCCTCGTCAATGTGACCTCGGCGATGTTTACATTTCGGTAGCCGCGATCCCATGCCCGTTGTTTACGTCCGATAATTTTCAACATGCCCATTTCTTTCCGCGAAGGCGCGTTCGATTAACCGGGCTAGATGATATCCTAATAAAAAGAAGTTCTGATAGTTCTGATAGTTCTTATACGAAATGACTGAAGTTTGTAATTGTACTATGGTTCTGAGCTGCTTGGAGAATACGTCGGCATACGTACCTCACGAAAGAGATTTGCTAGTAGTGGGAGGGGGGCGGAAGAAATTGCAAAAAGCTCGGTACATCGTTGTGTATCAAAAAGATCCCGGATATTCTGAAATATATTACTTTTATCTTCCGTACGCGTCCCTTTCTGTCTCGTATGATACGCACAAACCCACACAGAGAGCCGCGCGGCTCCGGCATCTGCGACCCCTGTTGTTATTGCGGAATGTAAAGAAGCGAGGGAATTCACGGATGATCGCTCCGCGAATCGGCGGCAACCGAGCCGTCAGTCATCCAGGAAATTCCATTGTCGGTGGAAAAATCGGCTTCGACTGGTATGGCTCGGTCGTTGCCTCCATTATTACGGCGCCCGCGCCCCGATTCTGCGGATCCGCTCGGTTTTCTGGCGGCGGGGGCGAGAGGAGATGAAACAATAGCGTTATTCCACAAAGATTCGCTCGCATGAGATCGAAACGTTAGGCAAACATTTCGTTTTACACGCACGGCAATCTGAGCACGCGGATCTTAACGGGAGGGCGAATATTAACGTATATATGTATATATGTTTATTCAACACACTGCACCGCGAAATGATAATTCGCGGTATATACATGTATTTGTAAAGCGGCTTTCTCGCGATTCCGCTCGCTTTGTTTGGATGCATAAAATGCGCGTCTATGATATCTACGTATTATGTTTCCCTTGAGCGACTCTTACCACGTTTCATCGATATTACATTGTGGTGGATAGAGATCGATTAATTAATAAATTGACGATTATTTGGGTGAATCTATCCATTTTATTGACAAAATATTAATCCATTTTTAGAAGAGATATTAGGACATTCATTAGAGCAGAACTTTATGAATGAAAGTCATATTGAACAAAGAGTCCTTTATCATTTTGGAAACAGTCACAATAATTATTGCTATATCAGTTAAAGAAAATCAGTGAATGATTGCGCATGATGCAGCGAGGCGAGTTCTTTAGGCAAGGTCTTATCCAATATGTGTTTGAGCTAGATGAAAATATCATAAATTTTATTGTGTCATTAGTTAACAAAAACCGACTATGAGAGACAATTATCGCGATAAAAATAAATTCATTTTCTCTTTCCTGATAAAAATATGTGACCTAATATTAGGTATGTAATCAAAAGTACGTGCCTAATGTTCTAATGTTCTAGTAATAAATAAAAGGCACGAGGTAAGCTTTAGATTTAAATTGCACAAGATATCGTTGAAATTAATAATTTTAATTTGTCGATGTAATGCATAAACTGCATTTACGTACCGTTTGTGTTAGCGGTTACATATGCTAACATATGGTGAGGCAGACGTTGTGATATTATTCCTTCTTTTGCACTTCGTGTAAATCACATCATGACATTCAGAGTTTGTTCGAGACTGCGCTTGCATTTTACCGTTCTCAAAAGCAACGTGTGGGAATTTCCATATAAATATGGCCGCGTGAGTGCTGTCGCCTCGACGGTCACAACTCAACGGTCTTATACAAATGAACGCATAAATTAAACTCCTCGTCCCGATATATGCGGCCTATACATGCTAGATAAGGCGTCACAGCTGACGATATTTGTCGCTTTAAAAGTTTTACGCACGATTGGACGAACGGACGAACGTCCGCATCATAACGTCGCGTTGAAAATTAAACGAGATTTCTCAAGTTTTACCGAGCATACTGACGCGAATATACGCGAAGGGATTTTCCGATGTTATCTGTAACGGGATTATGATATTGATAGATCGATTGGAAAAGTAGTAACAGTAATGATAAAGCGATTTGATGTTACGAGTAGTAACATAGTCGCAGTTTGTAGAATATGATTTATTTATAATTATTACATATGTTTAATATTAATAGTGAGCTAGCTGGACACGGATATTGAATGTTTCATGAAGCAATTAATGGCGCAGTATCACCAAAATGTTGTTTACTTGCTTAAAATATATAGCGTATTTAGAGATTATATTATAGCACTGTAGCGCGTTTACAGGATATTACGACGAATACTCGTGAGATGTATGTCGGTAGCACGCAAATTGCGAGGGAAGAAGCCGCTTAGTGCGTTTACCTTTGGCATTTCGCGGCTGATCGTCAGACCGGCGTGCGACACGCTGATTTTCTTCGCTCTCAGGCGGCGAAACGTGCGGATTGTTTGCGATTTTTCACGCGCGCCGATTCGTAAGTAAACAGAACGTAAGGGGCATTTCCGTAAAGCGCAGCTGGTGCCTGGGGCGAGGACCAGTATATTTACACGTGTAATCGTTCTTTGATTTATGGGGGACCAAGAGAGTAGAGGGCTCTTTTACACCCCGGTTCCGACCCTTCCGATCCGCGGGCAGCACTGAATCAATCATCATGAGGTATGATTGTTCCCTGTGCGCATGCGCACGTTTCTCTTTCGTTAGTTTTGTCATCGTCTACTATTGTTGCACGTTGATGTTTTGCACAATGGACGGTTAGTATAGTTCCGCGTTCTTAAAAACTTCCGATAAGAGATGAGCGGAATAATAAACATTTGATACTTCTGATACTTTTGCGAACTCTTAGATATTTAAATTGTATAGCATGTTTTATATTTATTATTACTGTTGTCATCATATTATGGTTACCATTATTAGTATGGGTAAGGCCAAGATGAAAGTTATACATTAACCCTATAGAGAATCTTACTCATTTTGGGCAAACTACGAGTGTGGGTCTAAATCTTGACTCGGCTGTCTCTTTGCTCTTAATAATTTCGTCAAACGTCCGTTGAAATCGTGAACATCCCGTGTAATAAATGGTTTGACGCACCTGGAAATACATGATGTATCGCTTGCCTCGTCCTGGCGTCCTGCGCTCTGCGTCCTGGCTTCCACATCCTGCATCCTGCTGCCGGCTGCTCCGTCGTGGCAATCCGTATACTCATTCGCAATGTTGACACGGGCACTGACATTCATGCAGATACGATTCGATTATAGAAACGCGTGTTAGCTAACGCAACGTCGACGGGAGTCCAATTGAATATTTCACGAGCCTACGAAATATTTTAATCGCTCAACGGTAACTAACTCAATGATGCATGTACTTCGCGTTGCAATACGTGCGTCTCTTGCCGCCTTTTTGCCTTTTGCGTACTCGTCGGCTGGATACGTAATGACTAAATCGCGGAAAAGTACGTGATACGTGAGAGCGTCAAAACGATAGGCAAAATAGTTAATCTTCCGATAGCGAAAGTGGAGCTTAGAGTGACGATGCCATGTTTTTCCTATTTATTTTTTAATTAGTAAAGTGTTTAATGAAATTCCCGTTTCATTTTAATATTCCCATAAAGTCTGGAAGTGATGATCAGAAAAATTTTACTTGAACTGTGAGTTTTATTTAAAATGATTGACCCGTGCC